TTGCTTTGTGACAGCGCTGCAAATCCTTGGCCTTGTTTCAATGAGCTTCATGATGTGATCACCTGAAAAGGTTTTCACTTCACAGGTGTCCCCTGACTACAAATGTAGTCCTCCAATCCAACCTTAAGAACATTTAGTGTTTGCACTGTAGCTGGTTTGCCCGCCTCAGATTTTTTTTTTTTATCTCTAGCCTCTGTTTATAAACATGGAAAGAACAAGATGGACTAAAACCCGGAGAATGGATCAGTGAAGGGGCAAGAGCACATGAACTTAAGGGGAAAAGTGTCCACTTGGGGGCGCTGTTAGAGCAAAAAAAAAGAGGCTATTTTACTTCAGTGCTTCATACAGATATACATTTCTTAAGGTAAAGCTTTTTTTGTTTGTTTTAACATTTGGTAATTAATGCTCTTACACAACAGCAGAAAGCACTCGTGTCTTTATCCCACTCAGGTCGTCCCCATGATCTAAGAGCCTGAGTGGTTAAGAAATGGGCCTGACATTTTAAACTTCTCTTCATTGGCTCCCTTTAAACCTAGAAATCAGGTTAAAATCCACCACATGCCTGTCATTAACCTTTTTCTCCATTTTCCTCCAGAGTTTTAATTTTTTTTTTCCTATTTCTTGTTTGTGGTCTCTACGGCCCCGACCAGGCCCCGCCCTGAGCCTTATTCTGCTCGCTGTGTCTTCCAGGTCAAAAGAAATTTGTCCTCCACATCATCACCAAACCTTTCACTAAAGCAATTATGGGGTCTCTCTCTGGTACTGGTGGGCATTCACTTTAGGTCATATAATGCCTTGAGTTGACTGTTGTTGGAAACTACATAAAACTGAATTTTAACATTTATTTTCCTAATGTGAGCAGCAAAGTGACTACATTCAGAGTTATCTGCAGCGCATAAAAATGACAGGACAGAGTAGAAGAATCTGGACATTCTTTATTGATTTTAAAGATCAGTAAAATGGTTCATCTGTCACTCAGTTAAGAAAAAAGATGCAGAGGCACACTCTTGTACTGTTTCGGTAAAAAACTAGCATTTGCTTCTGTACACAAAAGGTTTGTAACGAGCACAATTAAGAAGAGAATCTTTCATTATCATTTTTATTTTTAGCAGGAGGGTTAAGAACGTGGCACCAGCTTCAGTTTGATTGGTCGTTTTGGTTGTAGCAGACCCTGGATGTCCAACTCAAAGGGGATCTGCAAGGAAGTGACATGTAAAATAAATGACAAATACACACAAAACTCTGCCTTCTTATTTCAGATCTCCAAACAACTTAAGGTGGAAAACTGATGGAAAACGTAGAAATGCGTAAAATCCAGTGCTGTGCCAGTTCATGGCTTTTTATCTTTGGACTGATATACACGGTGGATGCATCGTCCATATCACTATTAAACTAGCAGTGAATCATTTTGGGACAGGGCTCTTCATACAGCATAAAAAAGGCAATGGCA